GAATCAGGGTGATGTTGGCCTCATAGAATGAATTTGGAAGAGCTCCCTCTTTTTCTATTTCCTGAAATAACTTGAAAAGTATTGGTATTAATTCTTCTTTAAAGGTTTTGTAAAACTCTGCTGTATACCCATCCAGTCCTGGGCTTTTCTTGGTTGTTAGTCTTTTGATGTCTTCTTCTATTTCCTCCATTATTATTGGTCTGTTTAAATTGTGTGTATCCTGTGACTCAATCTGGGCAAATCATATGACTTAAGAAATTTATCACTGTCTTTACTATCTTCTATTTTATTGGAATATATGGTTTCAAAATAATTTCTAATTATCTTCTGTATTTCTGTAGTGTCTGTTGTGATATTCTTTTGCATCCCGTATGTTAGTAATTTGAGTTCTCTCTCTTTTTCTCTTCATTAGCATGGCTAAGGGTCTGTCAATCTTATTTATTTTTTCAATGAACCAAGTTTTAGTTTTGTCAATTTTTTCAATAGCTTCTTTTGTTTCAATTTCATTGATTTCTGCTCTGATTTTAATTATTTCTTGCCTTCTGCTACATTTGCTGTTGTTTTGCTCATCCTTTTCTAGGGTTTTGAGATGAAGTGTGAGCTCATTTATTTGTTGGGTTTTTTTCTTTTTTGGGGGAATGAATTCCTGGCAATGAATTTCCCTCTTAAAACTGCTTTCATTGAGTCCCATAGATTCCAATATATTGTGTCTGTATTTTCATGTATCTCTAAGAATTTTTTGATTTCCTCCTTTATGTGAGTTTAAGCCATTAATGTTTAGGTTACTATTGATATATTTTTTGTACTGCCAGTCATGTTTATTTATTTATTTACTTACTTATTTATTTATTTATTTTAATTTGGCTTGTTTTTCCTCTTTGATTATTTCTCCCCCTTTACTGAGTTACCTCCCACTGTTGGTTTTGGGTGTTGTTTTTCATTTCCTTTTCTTGAAGCATTTTGCTCAAAATGCTTTGCAGTGCTGGTTTTCTGGCTGCAAATTCTTTTAACTTTTTTTTTATCGTGAAATATTTTAATTTCATTGTCAAACCTGATGCTTAATTTTGCTGGATACAATATTCTTGATAGGAATCCATTATCTTTCAGCATTTAAAATACGTTGTTCCAGGATCTTCTCGCTTTCAATGTCTGTTATGAAAAATCAGCTGTTAACCTAATTGGTTTACCCCTGAATGTAATCTGCCTCCTTTCTCTTGTAGCTTTTAATATTCTCTCCTTGTTCTGTATGTTGGATATCTTCATATTAATGTGTCTTGGAGTGGTCTATTACGGTTTTGTACATTTGGGGTCCTGTAGGGTTCCAGGATTTGGCAATCCATTCCATATTTTCATGCCTGGAAAGTTTTCTAAAATTATTTCATTCAACGTATTGCTCATTCCTGTGGTTTGGACCTCTATACCTTCCTCTAACCCAATGACTCTTAAGTTAGGTTTTTTTATGACATCCCATATCTCTTGCATGTTTTGCTCGTGGTTTCTTACCAGCATTTCTGCATTGACTATACTATTTTCGAGTTGATATACTTTGTCTTCATTATCTGATGTTCTGACTTCTACTTGATCTAGTCTACTTGTAATATTCTCATTTGAGTTTTTGATTTGGTTTATGGTTTCCTGCATTTCTAGGATTACTGTTTGATTTTGTTTTTTAATTTCTATCTCCTGGTAGAGTTGATTTTTTGCTTCTTGAATCTGTTTATCTAATTCATTTTCAAAGTATTCTTTCATTATTTGGACTTGCTGTCTAATGACTTCTTTAAGATTCCATTCCATCTGAGTCAGGTATGCTTTGAGTTCTTAATCTGTCCATTTTTCTGATATCTCTAGGTTCTCCTGTAAATTTAAGTTATCCTGCATTGTTTGTAATCCTTTTTCCCCTTGTTTTTTCATGGTGCTCACGTTACTTTCCAACTCTGTTTGACAGCTGTACTTCTGTTTTCTCCTATAAATTTGTTTTAGTTTTGTATAGCTCCAAGATTTCTCTCCTTTGTGCTGGGAGACAATGTTTAGAGATGTTGGATTTAATTGTGATTTAAGATAAATTCATTAGTTTCATTAAAGGCCTACAGATTTTAATGACATATAGAGAATTGAGGTTTGAACTTAGGATTTTATATTAAGGTCGGGAGATATGATGGTTGGTGGTTAGTATATCTTAGCTTCTTTGGGGGGTTGCTCAAATGCAGGTGGATATTAACCAGAGAATAGACAGGAGTACTTGCAGGTAGTTAGGGGCTTAGGCGGACTATAGACCATCTTGTAATATTCATCTATTTGCATTTAGTAAATTACATGTAATAGGAGTGGTCATGCTTAGGAGGGAAGATAGGGAAAAGGTAGGAAAGCAAACCAAGAAAGAGAGGGGGAGAGAAGAAAGAAAGAGAAAAAAAATAGAAAAGAAAAAGAAGAAATGATTTAAAAAATAATAAAATAAAGTAAAATAAAAATTACAATTAAAAAAGAGAGAGAAAAAAAAAAAAGCACTGTTAGGCTTCTATTTTCTTCTCTTCCAGGAGGTGGAGCTGTGACTTCCGGACCACGATTTTGCCCTCGGGCTCTAGGAAACAATCCATATGAAGCTGCTCCCTCCTCCCCCACCTGATGTCTCYCCAATCCTGTTCACTTAGGTTTATTCCTGGCCTCTAGTCTCCTCGCTTCTCCCACCAGACAGGCCTTCCCCAGTGTGGTACCTCTCCACAGTTCAAGCTACACTCTGGGCCTGCAGTTTCCTGGATGTAGAGCGTGGCTATTGGGAACCGGCCCCCTATTCTTTGGATTCCCTCCGATAGCCACTCCTCTGAGAGCTGGCGAGACAGATTTCGTTTTCACCGCAGGTGGAAGGTGGGAGTTGGAGGTCAGGTGCCTTTACCTTTCCCCACGCCTCTATTCACACTCACTCTGATAGTCACGCCCCTGGAAAGCCAGGGAGAGATTTTATGCGATTTCCCCCCGCTGTATGGGAGAAGGGCTAAATGTCACACACCTGTTCTATTGCTGAACTTGCTGCGATGGGGTCAGATCTGTTGGAAACTGGCGATGGTGACGTCAGCTCTCCAAGATGGTGGCCACTGGCTTCCTCAGTGGGGTGTCCGGTGTGGAGGGCCCATCTGGACTGTTTCTCTCCCCGTCTCAAACCCAGAACTCAGCCTGGAGCACTGTGAAGGCACAGTTGGCAGGACTCCACAGAATCCGTAGCACCGTTTCTCTGCGTTGCTGGCACATAGGCATGCAGGCTCTGGCTGCAGGGCAGACCGCTAATCAATCAGCCTGAATCTCCAGGCGCACAGTTCACTTGCAATTGAGCCGCAGTAACTGATCCTCGGGTGTTGAAATTCTTCCTCTAGGTTTCAGTGCACCCCAATTTTGTTGGACATTCCTAACAAGATAGCTTCTGGCCATTCTAAACTCGCTAATCACCTGCGCAGTGACACGGTACACGGGGGTGTCGCACTCTCTTCCCCGCCACCTTCCCTAAAATATATTTTAAAGAAAAGTGGGGGTGGCTTGGGATGTGCCTCAGTGCTTGAGTGGCCCTGAGTTCATTCCCTGGTGCAAAAAAAAAAAAAAAAAAAAAAAAAAACTACTTTGACCTCTAATTGATGAACGAAAACAAGAACACAAATAAATTTTAAAAATGGATTCTTCATGGAACTTCCTTGGATTGTACAGTCATCACTGAGTCAAATGTTGAGGCCAAATGATGCAATGTTCTAACAAATCAGGCCTCAGTCTCGAGTCTATCTGAGAAACAGGTAGTTATCTCTAAAGGAGAGAGGATCAATAAACAAATATTAGGAATATAAAATGAAACCAGGCATGGTGGCACATGCCTATAATCCCAGACCTTAGAAGTCTGAGGCAGGAAGATCATGAGTTCAAAGACAGCTTTAGCAACTTAGTGATGCCCTAAGAAACTCACTAAGACTCTGTCTTAAATAAAATGAAAAAAGGGCAGGAGATATTCAGTGGTTAAGTGCTCCTGGGTTCAATACACAGTTAAATTTTTTTAAAAATTTTATATATATATATATATGTATATATATATATTCATATATATATATATTCATATATATATATATTCATATATATATATATATGAAATACACTGACAACTGAAGCCTGCTATCATCTTTTTTATTTCTTTCTGGGAGGAAATCTCTCAATGTGACAAAGAGAAATGATGAGGCCACTGTACATAATTTTTGAACTTCCTAGTTTACCAAATATTCTCCTGTCCTAAGGAATACTTACAACCAGCTTAGGAGGCAAGTGGTACCACTCTACCCTTTATAGAGATGAAGCAATTGTGACTTAGAGACATGAGATGGCTTGGTGATATGTTCAAACAGGTAAGGAATCAAAGACTGTGAGCACATGGATGCAGAAAAAGAAGACACGGATACCAGGCAGCTTGCAGTGTGTGACTAACTCCACCAACTGCTCCATCAGCATCCACCCCTACTCCTCACAAGCTGCAGCTGGTGATAGGGCCTCTCTCCCTTATCATCGTGATCCTGCCAGTTTCTACCACATGTTTTCTCCAACTTTTCTCATGCTCCAAACTATGTTCCTCTGGACCCAGGAACCTCAGGCTCACTTTCACTTACTGCCCACCATGTGCCTGAAGAAGTATGCTTGCTATGTGGGGCTCTCCCTTATACCCTTTACCCTAATTTGCATCATGGCCAATGCCCTCCTACTAGTTCCTGATGGGAAGACCTGGAGCAGTGACCAACTCAGCGTGCATGTCTTGCTCCTGCCTGGCTTCATCGGCAGGGGATTGATGGTAAGGAGTCTAGAGCACAGGCCAGTGACCAGGGCTGTGAGCACAACCATAAGGGGTTCTGGATATGAAGGGAGAGTAGAGGGAAGAGGACAGAGTTCCAGAGGGGATGGCAAGTGCTTGGTGGGGACAAGGAATGTGCCCAATCCTCCACACACACACTCAGTACTCTGTAGACAGTCCTAGAGGAGCCACCAAGAGATAAATATCTAAGGGAAGGGGAAGGCAGGGAAGGGAGGCTCAAGTCTCTAAAGAGCTTTGCTTCTGAGTCAAAGCATGTCCCACCTGACCCTCCCTGCCTTGGTAGCTGAGTAGATGTTGGGGACACCTCACTACAAGGGTCCGAGCAAAAGGAGCAGCTGATTGTGTGGGGGGTTAACAGAGCAGGATAATACAAGGCATGGGGGTGCAGAATAAATGTCTGGAGCCAGGCAGTGATGTCACCCAACAGTCACTCTACCTCTCAGCTCAGATTTGCCCCTCCCTCCTCCACATCCACTCACTCTCAGCCCACATGCTGGATGCCCACTCTATGCTGGGTGCTTAAGGATCAACTCAGAAGCAGGTCGGCAGGAGAGAAATTGTCCCCAAGGTTTCCTGAAGATGAGGATCTGCTGGGAGAAGTGGAGGAAGAGGGGACACAGGGGGCTGGGGATGTGGCTCAAGCGGTAGCGCGCTCGCCTGGCATGCGTGTGGCACGGGTTCTATCCTCAGCACCACATACCAACAAAGATGTTGTGTCCGCCGAGAACAAAAAAATAAATATTAAAAATTCTCTCCCTCTCTCTTTCTCCTCTCTCACTCTCTTTAAAAAAAAAAAAAGAAGAAGAGGGGACACAGATTTCTTGGGTCTCCTCCTCTAACTCTTTCCCCATTTAGGGGAAGTTTTTGGTGGTCTTCCTAGTGTAATATTTTTGTGGGGTAAAAATAAGACATCTACCAGCAGAGTTCCCCAATTTTCAGAACAGCTGATTGATAAAATTCTCTAGAAGGGTCTCACCTTTATGCCTTTTCCTGGCCACACCTCTCTTAGCTAAGTGGGGGTACCTCTCCTTTACCTAGCAACTCCCTCTTACCTTCTGAGGTCCCTTCTACTCCCCGTCTCTTACATGAATTCATGGCTGTTGGACTCTACTCCATCTCTCTGACTTCAACTTTCTCTAAGATATCACACTCCTCCAGGCCTACACACTTACCCAGTGTCACATCATGTCCCTTCTCCAGCCCAAACTACCCTCCACTTCTCCACCCAGTCTACCGAGTTTTCTTTAGGAGCCATCTCCAAGGATGTGTTCCCAACATTCTCATCCACAGCTGTCTTCCTCCCCTCCACAACTTCAGTCACTCTCAGAAGTGCCACACGATGCCACAGAGACACAGACAAGGTCCTTGCTCCCCTGGAAGCCTGACTTCCTTAGTGGGGGCAAATGGTATGAAGAAAGCAAGACCCAAAGCCCCATGAGAGCAAGGACTGCGTGTTTTGTTGGTTGCTGTGTGCCTGGTGCCTAGACCAGTGCCTTCACCTAACAGGAACTTGGTTAACATAATAGGCAGCTTCTGGAGGAGGTAACCACCTTGAGGATATGAGTTTGGGTGGAGGGTTCACACTATCACACTGACTCTTGTCCCACAGGTGCTGTGTCCGGGAATCACAGCAGTTCTGATAGGGGCTGGGGGTTCTTGTGGTAAAGGCTGCTGTGGACATCGCTGCAGGGTAAGATCTAAATTAGAAAAGATTCCTCCTGGTTTGATGGCCCACACCTGTAATCCTAGGGACCCAGGTGGTTGAGGCAGTAGATTCTCAAGTTCGAGGCCAGATTCAACAATATAGCAGGATCCTGTCTCTTAAATAAGAAAAAAAAGTTAGGGGGGGGGGCTATGGATCTATCTCAGTGGCAGAGCACTCCTGGCTTCACTCCCCAGTGACAACCCAGCCCCCTCCCAAAAAAAGAGGTTGAGAATTTGGTCTCTGAACTTGTCTCTCAAAGCCACAGCACCTTCTGCAGAATTCATAACCACCATGAATCCCCGCAGGCCCTTAGTTCTGCCTAACTCCAAGCCCCGAATTTACAGGAAAATGTATTTGCAAGCGCTCTGTTACAGGACTGCAACCCGGGTGCTAGGAATCTCTTTTTAACCTGGCTCCAGAGGAGCCTGACCATGTGGTGGGCAGAGCTAGGCACCATACGCTGGTTTGGAGGGGTGGTCCTATTCAACCCACCTTCCACACCTGGTTCAGATGCTGCTGTCCATCATCTCCTCGATCTTCGGAATACTTGGTGCCATCTACTGCCTCTGCGTGTCAGGACAAGGCCTCAGACATGGACCCAAGTGCTCAGTGAATGGCAAGTGGGACTACCACTTCCGAAAAAACTCGTAAGGCTTAGCCTGTATTCACGTCCCCCATTCTATGAATCTCACCATCTCCATGCCCTTCCCACTTGGGCCGGGACACCTGGGTGCCACAGAGCTTCGGGAGAGTTCCCTCCATGTGGGCCTAACTAGCCCTTTGCAAATCCCATGGGGTGCCTGCACAGGGGATTGGGGTGGGGAAGGTCTTCGCCTTATTGTCTTTACTCGATTGACCCATGTCCACAGAGGCACTTACTTGAACAACCGTACTCAATGGAATTTATGCGAGGAACCACGAAACGTGGTGCCCTGGAATGTTATGCTCTTCTGCTTGCTGGCGATCATCTCATCCCTGGAGATCTTGCTGTGTGGCATACAGCTGGTGACTGCTACTGTTGCAATTTGTAGCAATTGCAGGAAAAAATGAGGTGGGACAACATGAGGTGTTGTTGTGGAGGGACAGGCTTGCTCCTAGCTACATACTCAACTCACTTTCTCTTTTCCGCAGGGCTCAGCTCACGGAGGCTCCTTGCGCACCCAATTATACCTGTTCGTTCCTGAACCCCTGCCTTAGCCAGGAGAATTACAAATTTGAGACCAGCCTCAGCAACTAAGCAAAACCCTGTCTCAAAATAAAAAAGTTCTGGGGAAGTGGCTCAGTGGCTAAAAAGGCCCAAGGTTCAATCCTCAGCTCTAAAATTAAAATAGAAGAAAATGAAGAAGTACCGTCTCCCAGCCTCACTACTGATCAACTTGAAGACAAATATGTTGCCTGCTCATGGCCCACTCTTAGTTCATCAGGACCAAAGACTGAATCCCCTCTTCAGGTCTACATTGGGAAGGACCACTATTCAGGACAGGACAGTTGCTCTAGTAGTTCAACATGAGTTTCTGGTGATCCTGCTCTACCTCTCATCTAGCCTGCCCCAGGTCTCAGATTCTTCATCTCTGCTTCCCAGTCTTCATGCTCCTTCCTCCTTCATTGTTTATGAATGGCACTTCTCTATGCAATTCTCTTGCTGCACCTTTTGATCATTTATAGTTTCTACTACTTATGGCTTTTTCTCACTTCTTTCCTTCATACATTTCTCATTTGGGGGACTCCTTCTTCTCTAATATCTCTCTCAGATTGTCTCGCAGACATATTTCCCATGAATGAAGATCCAGTTAATTGCTGAGTGATCATGCAGACAGGATACCTCTGTTCAGCAGAGCTCTCACCTTCAGCAATCTCCTAAGTCTCTGGCTACATGCTTGCCTGTCTGTGGATCAGCTACTTGTTTATCAATCAGTCGGCTGTGGCCTGCAAGAAAGCACATGAAAGAGAATACAAAAAGAAAAAGGAAATGGAAGGAAACCTCTGGGACCTGTGATGCTTTATTCAGCACCAGAAGGACAGAACTTTCATGGGGAAAATGGAGGTGGGCCACCTTGAGAGTCTGGGTTTTATATGGCCTTAGTGGAGCCAAGTCATTGGAGGAGTTAGTTACTTTTGGCAGGCCCACTTGACAGACCCTCGACATCTCTGTACCCAGACTCACCTTGGGCCTCCCAAAAAATGCAGGTTCCTTTAATTCCCTATCCTTGCACTGGCTGGAGCTTTCAGCCCTGCTGAAGCATTGTTATGCTACTGGAGATTTTTTCTTTATTTTATTATATCCAACATCCTGAGTTCCAATACTGCTTTAAATGTCTAGTTTAAAATTCCAGTAAACTCCCCTGCATTTTTTGTTGTTGTTGTTCACTCATCTTGTTGAGAAGCTGCCTGTCTACTTTCTTGGTTTCACTCCATGGAGCAGCCAGGAACATGACTTCCCTCCTCTATTCCACCATCTCCTTGGACATCTTCAATAACCTGTTGTGACAACTTTTTATAGTAACAAATGGAGGTTCCTGATCCCATTGCTCCTGTGCCGATCCTGGTGCATATGTCTAGCCCTATGAGTAAGGGATTAAACTGAGGGCTTTCTTGTGTCTGGTGTGTGCCATTATCAGGATAGACAAACTTTTTGTCATTAGGTAAAAATGTCAATTTGAGGAGTAAGAATACTAAGGTACAGAGGCCAATCCAATTTTTCATAGGCAGGAGTAAATATGAGCCTCACAAAGGAAAAAAAATGCCTCAGAATTTTGGAGGTACCAGTGCTGTGAGGCTGAAACAAGTCAGTATGTCTTAAGTTCTAATAAAAGAACTATTGTTTTTTGTTTTAAATGCCCACACATGGCTGTACTTTGGTTATAATTTTTTGCTAGGTGTTCAAAACCAAGCTGGCCAAATTGACCTTGTTCCTATCTATTGTTAATAGTCAGCTGAGTCCACTCAGAGAGTAACTCTTTGGAGCTTGCGAGCAGCCTCTTAGCTCCATTAGTGCCATCTGCAGGATAGGGCAAGGATCTTGCTGACCATTTGACTTCTCTTAGAAACATAAGGGATGTCTCCCCTTTCTAATGACCCTCCTCTTTTGCAGCATGTGCACTGGTTAGTTTTTTGTTCTCCAGAGTCTCAGTGATCCCCCTGATCAGGGAGTCATGTGGCCCAGAGTTACAAAGTTCTTAGAGAAGTTCTCTTATTCCCTAGGTTCAAGCTGACTCAGAGGGCAAGAGCTGAATATTGGCTATGTTTCTTTCTTGGCCCTTTTACTTCCTTTACTTTAATCTCCAATTTTTGGTCTTAAACATCTAGCAACCAGTCTCATCATTTGTAAAGTAAGAGTACTAAGCTTTAACTTTAATGTCTATAGTGTTGCAGTCATTTTAATTTAACCCTTCTATTTGATTGCAGTCTGTATTAGGACTGGAAGTTAGCCTTACCTCCTGTCTGTGTGTAGATGATGGCCTATTATCTCAAATTAATTTAAGTTGTTATATTGAAAGTTGTACTTCTGTAAGACACTAATAGATGACATTCAAAGTTTATAAGGGAAATACAAGGTAAAATTAACAAGAGTAAAAAACTTTGAGTTTGTATAATAACTATGAACCAAGAAATGTAACCTCTATAATTTTAAACCTTACTTAGTTATATATCTCCTGTTTATTTTGTGATTGCATTAATCATTATAACAAAAATTTATCTTTTGAACATGACTTTAAATGAGTTAAGTCTGGCCTACTTTAAATTATTTTAACATGGAATAAGGTGAGACGCAGAGTCTTAACTCAGGTGAGGTGGGACTCATGGCAAACCGTAGGTAAAGTGTTTTATTTCTAAAATGATCTTTGCTTCTTTCTTAAATATCATTTTATAAAGTTTATATGTTGTTTCCTGAGTCTATATTAATGTTAGCTAACACAATATAACATTATATCTGAAACATGTAATATTAACCTTTAAACAGATCAGGCTTTCATTATCTTTTGGAAATACATTTAAATTTCTACCCCAGTGTAAAAAGCAGCATAAAATTTTACATATATCATGGGCTGGGATTGTGGCTCAGTAGTAGAATGCAATAAAGGTATTGTGTTCATCAACAACTAAAAATATTTTTTTAAATTTACATGTCTTATTGATAACAGGTCCAGTTAAAGAACATTAAAAGTCTAAAACGACCATTACAAAAAACTTTAGAGAACAACAGCTTGATTAAATGTTCTTTTACATCTCCTATTTGAAAGACTTGTATTGCTGAAACACAATGCAAAGAAAAGACCACTGACTCCAATTTAAACCAAATTAAAACAAGCTTATATTGTGTACACAAGAGCGCTGGCCAGTGGCTGCCTCAACCTGGAAAAACAGGGCCAGAGGACTGCAACTGGTCTTATTACAGAAAAGATTTTTATTAAAAAAAAGCGGGGGGGGGTGTTTTGGAACTTACACTGACAGGGTTCACTCAAGCAAGTACAAGGGCAGATAGCAGGTTTATGATCTACATTGTTTAACATCTTAATGTAGGGAACAAAGTCAGATTCCAACATCAAAGTTAATGAGGAACAGCTGGGATTTCAGGGAGGGTTGTTATCTGGTCAAGGACAGCTGGGCACAGATAAATTCAAAGCACAGGCAAAAATCCCAAGCAAGTTTTAAAACATCAAATTATGGTAAGACCAAACAGAAATCTCAGTGTTTTACAATAAAACAGAAATTAACTTAGGCTGGGTCCATCATTATACCTGGAAAATATGAATACATTTATTATACTAAAACTCAACAATAGAACCACAATTATATCGATGTTGTATATTAATCAACTTTAGCTTTTAAAGACAAATCTAGACTCTGTAATGTAGTGTAATACCCTAAAATAGAAGTTGTTTGACCAGAGTTGTACAAACCCTAATTTTCTAAAGAATAAAACTTAAGGGGCTGGAAATATAACTCAGTTGGCAAAGTGCTTGGTTCGCATGCACAAGGCCCTGGGTTCAATCCCCAGCACCGCAAAAAATTAATTAATTAATTAATTAAATAAAATAAAGAATAAAACTGGACATAAGAGATTGTCTTGATACATAAGAAATTCTTGTTACTTCAACCATAGAGGATTAAACTTTGGTTTATATCAGCACATTAAAATTTGACATTGGGGGAAAAAAGATTTTCTGATCTTTTTCCTGCCACAGGAGGGGAGTACAGGAGAAAATGTGTCTTATCAGAGTCTAGAAAAAGTAGTCTAATTTTTTAAATGACAGTAAAGCTAAGAGAGCTCTATCTTGAGAATCTCCCAGTTTCACGATCTGGTCACATTATCTCCTCCTTCAGGGAAACTTGGTTGCTCTTATCAATATTATTTGGGGCTTGCATTTCTCCTTCAGTGAACAGGTAGTTTGTCACATATAACTAAAAAGAACAAATTTTTTAAAATTTTAGAAAAATAAAAGGTTCCAAGGAGCGCTGGGTGTGGTAGCGCAAACCCATAATCCCAGCAGCTCAGGAAGCTGAGGCAGGAGGAGGATCACAAGTTCAAAGCCAGGCTCAGCAACTTAGCCCTAAGCAACTCAGTGAGATCCTGTCTCTAAAAATAAATAAATATATATATATACATACATATACAAAAAAGGGGGGGGCTGGGGATGTGGTTCAGTGATTAAATGCCCCTGGGTTCAATCACTAGTACCAAAAAAAAGATTCCAAGGAGATCAGGCATGGCTGGATATGCAGATTCACATGATGTTGTTTCACCTCACTCCATCTCTCAGGGTTCTTTCCTCTGGATTGACTTCCTGCTCAAACAGGCAGGCCCTGCCTCATGGTGTAAACAAGCCACCAGCAATCTTAGCACTTCAACAAAAAAAATGAATTTTTAAAGTGGATTCTTCATGGAACAGGCTTGGATTGTACAGCAGTCACTGAGTCAAACATTGATGCCAGATAATGGAATATTCTAACAAATCAGGCCTCATTCTCAAGTCTACCCTGAGAAACAGGTAGTAGTCTCAAAAGGAGAAGAAACCAATAAACAAATATTAAGAAAATGAAATGAGGGCTGGGGTTGTAGCTCAGTGGTAGAGTGGTTTGCTTAACACACATGAGGCACTGGGTTCAATCCTCAGCTCCAAATAAAAATAAGTCAAAAAATAAATAAAGGTATTGTGTCTATCTACAGGAAAAAAAAWTTTTTTAAAGGAATATGAAATGATACTAGGCATGGTGGTACATGTCTATAATATCCACAGCTCGGAATGCCGAGGCAGGAGGACCACAAGTTCAAAGCCAGCCTCAGCCCTTAGTGAGGTCCTAAGCAATTCATTGAGACCCTGTCTCTAAATAAAATACAAAAGATCTAGGAAGTGGCTCAGTATTTAAGTGTCCCTGGATTCAATCCCTGGAGAGAGAGAGAGAAAGAGAGAGAGAGAGATTACCATACGTATATTTCATATATGTGTGTGTGTGTGTGTGTGTGTGTGTGTGTGTGTATGAAATAAAAACAACTGAAGCCTATCATCCTTTTCATTTTTTTCTAGGAGGGACACTGTGTGACAGATGGAAATCATGAGGCCACTATACACTTTCTTGGGCTGCCTAGTTTACAAAATACTCCCCTTGTCCTAAGGAACCCTCACAACCAGCTCAGGAGGCAAGTGGTGTCACTCTACCCCTTATAAAGATGAGGGAATTGAGACTGACAGGCATGAAATGGATTGGTTAAGTCTTCAAACAGGGAAGGAACCAAAGAGAGACTACAGAGAGGTGTGTGCAGAAAAAGAGAAAGTAGACACTGAGGCCAGGCAGCTTGCAGTGTGTGACTAGCTCCCCCACCTGTTCCATCACCACCTCCTCCCTTTCCCCTCACAAGCTGCAGCTGGTGATAAGGGCCTCTCTCCCTTATCATTCTGACTCTCTCAGTTTCTACCACCTCTTTTCTCTGCCCTTTACTCATGTTCCAGCCTGTTTACTTCTGGATCCTGGAACCTCCGGCTCACTTTCACTCCCTGCCTTGCCATGGATCTGAAGAAGTGTACCCGCTGTGCGGGGTTCTCCCTTATATCTCTTTCCCTGGTCTGCATCACGGCCAATGCCCTCCTACTGGTTCCTGATGGGAAGACCTGGAGCAGTGACCAACTCAGCATGCATGTCTTGCTCCTGCCTGGCTTCATCGGCGGGGGATTGATGGTGAGGAGTCTAGAGCACAGGCCAGTGACCAGGGGTGTGGACACAACCATGAGGGGTTCTGAATGGGAAGGGAGGAGAGAGGGAAAAGGAGGGAGTTCCAGATGGGACGGTAAGTGCTGGTGAAATCTATCCAGCAGAGCCCAACCCTCCCCCTACACACTCAGCACTCTGTAGACAGCCCTGGAAGAGCCCCCAAGGACCTGAGATAAATGTCTAAGGGAAGGGAAAGTCAGGGAGGGGAGGCTCAAGTCTCTAAAGAGCTTTGCTTCTGGGTCAAAGCATGTCCTATCTGCTCGGCCCCACCACCCTCACAGCTGAGCAGATATTGGGGACCCCTCACTACAAAGGTCCAAGCAGAAGGAGCAACTGGTTGTGTGGAAGGTTATCAGGGGCAGGGCAATAGGCATTGGGGGGTGCAGCAAAAATGTCTGGAGCCAGGCAGTGATGACACCCATCAGTCACTGTACCTCTCGGCTCAGTGTTGTCCCTCCCTTCTCCTCATCCTCTGACTCTCAGCCCACATTCTGGATGCCCACTCTGTGCTGGGTGCTAAGGACAAACTCAGAAGCAGGTCAGTCAGGCAGAGAAATTGCCCCCACGGCTTCCTGGAGAGGAGGACCTGCTGGGAGAAATGGAGGAAGAGGGGACACAGATTTCCTAGACCTCCTCCTCTCTTTCCCCATTTAGGGGAAGTAGTATTTATATGGGGCAAAGATGAAAGATCTACCCAGCAGAGTTTCCCTCTCTTCAGGACAGATGACAAATAACATTCTCTAGAAGAGGTCTTGCCTTGGTCCCTTTTCTGAATCACACCTCTATTAGCTAAGCAAGGATACTTCTCCTTAACCTAGCAACTCCCTCTTACCTTCTGAGGTCCCTTCTACTTCCCATCCCTTGCATGGATTCATAGTGTTGGACTTTTCTCCGTCTCTCAGATCTCAACTCTCTCTGAGATGTCACACTCCCCCAGGCCTACACACTCACCCAGTGTCACCTCATGTCCCTTCTCCAGCCTAAACTACCTCACACTCCTACCCCCAGGCTACTAGTCTTTTTCAGGGGTGATCTCTAAGGGTGTGCATTCTCACTCACAACTGTCTTCCTCCCCCTCTACACCTTGAGTCACTCTCAAGAAGTACCACTTGACATCACAGAGACACAGACAAGGTCCCTGCTCCCCTTAAATCTTGGGTTCCTTAGAGGGGGCAAATGGTATGAAGGAAGCAAGACCCGAAGCCCCATGAGAGCCAGGACTGCCTGTTCTGTTGGTTGCTGTGTGCCTGGTGCCTAGACCAGTGCCTTCACCTAACAGGAACTTGGTTAATAATCACTGAATGAAGGAAATAAATATGTAAGATGATTTCAGACAGCAGGGGGTGCCATCAAAAATAAAAATAAATAGGACTGGGGCTGGGGATGTGGCTCAAGCGGTAGCGCGCTCGCCTGGCATGCGTGCGGCCCGGGTTCGATCCTCAGCACCACATACCAACAAAGATGTTGTGTCCGCCAAGAACTAACAAATAAATATTAAAAATTTAAAAAAAATAAAAAATAAAAATAAAAATAAAAAAATAAATAGGACTGGAGGAATAGCTCAGTGGTAGAGCACTTATCTAGCATGTGTGAGACACTAGGTTTGATCCCCAGCAGTACTGCAAAGAAGAGAGAGCAAGAGAGAGAAGTGGAGAGAGAGTAAGCCAGGAATACGTGGTAGCCCATACCTGAAATTCCAGTTACTCAAAAGGAAGATTATGCCAGGTGCAGTGGCACATGCCTATAATCCCAGCAAACTTGAGGCAAGTTTGACAACAGCCTGGGCAATAAAAAATTAAAATTAAAAATTAAAAGGGCTGTGATATGTTTTGGTGGAGAGTGTCCCTACATTGAATTGTCCATGCTACCAAAATAAATAAATAAATAAGAGAGAGAATAAAATCATAAGTTTGATTGAGGCCAACCTGGAAAATTAGATCATATATATGTATACATATATATATATGTATGTGTGTATATATGTATATATATGCATACACACACACACATACACACACACACACACACACACACAGAGAGGGACGTACACTGTGGATGTAACTCAGTGGCAGAGTGCCCGTGCCCTGGATTATTCAATTCCTAGTACCACAAAAATAAGTAAATAAATAAATAAAGCTATTATAAAGAGGTAGGGCAAGAAGTTAAGGATTTTTGTTATTTCTTTTTGGTTTGGGGGTTGTGTGTGTATACATGCATGTGCGCTGGGGATTGAACTCAGAGACTTGTGAATGCTAAGCACATGCCCTCCTAGTGAGCTACATCCCCAGCCCCAGTTCAATGAATTTTTACAAAGTGGACATACCCACATACCCAGCACCCAGATTAAAAAACAGTTCATTCATGCACCTGTAGTCCCAACTCCTCAGGAAGCAGAGGCAGGAGGATCTTGAGGCTGAGACGAGGAGTTCCATGTCAACCCTGGTAAAATAGCAAGACCCTATCTCAAAAAACAAATAAAACACAGATTGTTATTACCAGAATCCCACACATGCCTCTCACCAGGTACTACCCCCACCAACAAGGGTAATGATTATTCAGTCTTCTAACACCATAAACTAGTTTGGTCTGTTCAGTACTTTATTTAAAATGAAATCATACACTATGTGCTCTTTTGTGTCYGGCTTCTTTAGCATAATATCATATTGTGAGAGCCATCTGAGTTATTTTGTGTAGCTCTAGGTTTTTATTTTTTATGCATGCCTTTGTGTAAATATACTTTAATTTAAACTTCTACTGTTGATGGACATTTAGTTCCCAGTTTGGGTTTATTGCAAATAAGGTCAATAACAACCTTCCTATAGGCATCGTAGGTGAGCATATGTGTTTATTTCCACTGTTACTCTTAGGAGCAACACCGCTGGATCTTAAGGTTTACAAATATTCAGTGCTAATACTGGCAAATAGTTTTCTGGGAGTTTTTGGATAAATTTCATTTCTATCAACACAGAGTGAGAGTTGTTCCACTCCCCACTGGATTGAAGTATATCCTCTAGCTATTGTGTGAAGAATGAATAGTAGGTCAGCCATAAATGCAGAAGATGGGAGTAATGACATAGAGGGGAAAACAGTACCTTGAAATAGGCCAGTGGCCATGTGATAGAGAGAAGTGGGCAGATTCAAGCTATAAACAGTGTTGCCTCCTGAATTAATGATGACTCTTCTCTTTTCATGAAGACAATAAGACAGCAGGGAGGAAGAAGGGAAGCTTAGACCACAAAGGTAGACAAATACTTTGACCAAAAGTAAAACTCTCAGATGTTTCATTTGAAACTGGTAAATCTGGGTTGGGGATGTAACTCAGTGGTAGACCATTTACCTAGCATGGCAATAACCTGATAACCTGGATTAGATCTCCAGCAACGCAACACACCACACACACACACACACACACACACACACACACACACATTAGTAAATCCAGAGGTAATTCTAGGTATCTTTGCATCCTAGAACCTCCCAGTAATTGACCTCACCAGCAAAGGGGACTAGCACTGGCCCTGAATCTGCCTGGACACAGGAGCAGGGGAGCAAGAGTGCTAATGGAAGTTGGGCACAGTGGTACATGCCTGTAATCCCAGGGACTCCGGAGGCTGAGGCAGGAGGATTGCAAGTTCAAAGCTGGACTCACAAAAGCAAGGTGCTAAGCAACTCTGTGAGACCCTGTCTCTCAATAGAATACAAAATAGGGCTGGGGATGTGGTCAGTGGTTGAGTGCCCCCAAGTTCAATCCCTGGTACCCAACCCCCCCAAAAAAAGTGCTAGTGGAAATTTTGTTCAACTCATCAGGTTTTCTCTGTGGTTACTGGGGATGATATAAGAGAACTAAAACTCTCAGCCCCTACCCTGGAAAAGAACCAAATGCTGCCTTTTATGGTACATACCAACAAGGAAGGAAAGATCAAAACATCTGTAGAATTCCAGGGATGGGAGATGAACAAAAAACCTGGCTGGGCTATGAAGACAATGACAAAGCTGGAGGCAGAGTGAGGAGCCTCAAAGGACTTGCTAGAATTTAGAAGCTCCCCTCCCACTGGACTTGCTGGTGCTAGCCTATATTCCCAGAGGCTCAGGAGGCTGAGGCAGGAGGATCACAAGTTGAAAGCCAGCCTCAACAACTTAGGGAGGCCTTAAACAAATCAGTGAGAGCCTATCTCAAAATAAAAATATAAAACCGGGCTGCAATGTGGCTCAGTATTTAAATGCTCTTGGATTCAATTCCCAGTACCAAAACAAAACAAAAAATAAAATAAAATAAAATAACACCCCCCACCGTCCACAGATTGAACCCAGGAACACTTTCCCACTGAGCTACAACCCCAGCACTTTATTTTTATTTTGAGATAGGGTCTCCTTCTGTTGCTGAGTTTCTGGGTACAGAAACCAGAGTTGCTGGGTTTACAGGTATGTACCAACGTACCCTGGCAAGACCAAGATTAATCTGGTGGTAGCATGTAGGAAGAAGTGTGGGGTGGCATGGGGCAAGAGCTACGGGAACTTAGTAGCGAGGCTAAGAATATCTTCCACATGGAATTTGATTAGAAATTGAATAGGGAAAGAAGGAGAAAGGACTGACAGATTCAGGAGCCACTGAAGGAAGAGTCAAAAGGACTTGAGATCTGACTGGGTGCTGAAGGATTAAAGTTTTTCCAGCCTAGGTGACGTGGTGGGTGATTATTTCCCAAAATCAAAGGGAGATGAATTTGGGAAATAGTAGGAGTTCACTCTGAGACAGGCTGAATCTGAGCTAAAACCAAGACATTTGAGTGAACACATCCTTCAGGCAGTTGGGTTTAGATCTCCAGGCATGTGGAGGTGTCTATTGGCAGAGGGAATAGCTGATTCCCTGGAAGGGGATGAACTTTGTGAGAAAAGTCACAGGAAAAGAAAAAAAAAAAAAAAGATCAGGGGCTGGATCTTAGGAAATCCCACAACCCACATCACAGCATTTGTGAGCACACTTGAGCACATCCTAGCTCACCAGACCTTCCAACACCACTACCTCTTCCCACTACTGAAGGCATTTATAGCTAAGGAGAACTTACTGTAAATCAGCCTTGACATCAGGCCCAACAGTTACCATTCAATCCTAAGTACAACTATGTGAAGTAGGTTTCACAAACCCTTTTTACTAAGACAAAACTGAGACCCAGAGAAACCAATCAATTCATTGAGCATGAAGTAGTGTGGCCCAGGGCCTCCATATTCCCATTCAGAAACGCACGTACTACATGCCAAGAATTAGGAGGAATATTTAATAGTGAACCCAACTCTCAAGGAAGCTGCCATATGGACAGAGATAAGGTAGGTACATAAATAATGATAAAGTCAGGTAGAGCCCAACCATGCTCCAGGACAGGTAGAGGTAAGGTCTTCCTACAGTCCAAAGGCCTGAGGACACCATAGGCAGCTTCCAGAGGAGGTGAATATCTTGAAGACCTAGGTTGGGGTGGAGGGTTCACACTATCACACTGACTCTGGTCCCACAGGTGCTGTGGTCGGGAATCGGAGCAGCTCTGGCAGCGGTTGCAGATCCAGACTGGGTGAGATTCAAATTAAGAAGAGCTTTGCCAGGGCGTGGTGGTGCACACCTGTAATCCCAGTGACTCTGGAGGTTGAGGCAGGAGGATCTCAAATTCATCCATTTAGCAGGATCCTGTCTCATTAAAAAGAAATAAAAAGAGCTGGGGAAGTAGTTCAGACGTAGAGCACTTCTAGGTTCAATCCCCAGGGTGCCCCCACCTGCCCAAAAAGGAGAAAGCGATTGAGGATTTGATCTCTGAACCAGTCTCTCCCAGAGCCACAGCACCCTCTGCAGAGTTCCTAGCCTCCATGAATCTCTGTTGGCCCTTAGTTTTGCCTAACTCCAAGCCCCAGGTTTATAGGAAAATGTATTTTCAAGCACTCTGTTACAGGACTGCATCCCCAGCCCCAGGAATGTATTTCAACCTGGCTCCAGGGGAGCTTGGCAATATAAGGGACGGAGCTAGGTGCCATCAGGCCACAAATGGGGATAGGGTGGCCCTATTCAGCTCACCTTCCACACCTGGTCCAGATTACACATTCCTTCTTGTGCTCGATCTTCGGAATGCTTGGTGCCATCTACTGCCTCTCCGTGTCAGGAGTCGGCCTCAGAATTGGACCCAAATGCTTCATAAACGGCGAGTGGGACTACCACTTCCAAGAATCCGAGTAAGGCTTAGCATCTATTAGTGACCCCCAGTCTCTGCATCCCATGATTCCCATGCTCTTCCTACGTGGGTGCCACTGAGCTTCAGGAGAATTCCCTCCATGTGGGTCTAACTAACCCTTTGAAAACCCCACCCTGCCGGTGGAGGGGACTGCGGGTGGGGGTAGGGCGCCGGGTGACCTCCTTCACTTACTGGACCCTACCTGTCCACAGAGGCGATTACTTGAAGTACAATGCTTACTGGAATTTGTGCGAGGAGCCACTCACAGTGGTGCCCTGGAATGTGACGCTGCTCTCGTTGCTGGTGGTTGCCTCCTGCCTGGAGATGGTGCTGTGTGGCGTGTACCTGGTGAACGCTATTATTTTATCATTTGATTGAAAGTACATGAAAGCAAATACAAAAAGAAAAAGAAAAATGGAGGGAGTGATGCTTCTATTCAGTTCCAGAAAGGCACATCTGGGGAATGGGGTGGGGGACATCAGGTCATCATGAGGATAATCTGGGTTTTATAGATTTTTAGCTGAGCTAGGTCCTGGGAGGTATCAGATCAGGCTTGGCAGGCAGCAACCAAAGGAGGCAGATTTAAAAGGGCCGCTGAACGAGGCTTTATTGAGATATCACTCACGGTTGGAACTCCATCAGACCCACAGAGTGGACAGGGGAAGGGTCTGAGGAGAAACCACGTGGAAGCTTGACCGGACTGGACTTTTATGGGGCTTACAGCAGGAAGGGAAGGGCTTGGGACAGGAAAAGGTGTTTTTAGGGTCCCTTGCCCCCTTGGAGGTGGTCAGGGGAGTTGGCTGAACTCCAGGATTGGCCAGGGGGTCCTGCTGATGAACAGGCTTTAGTCAGGAGATCTGGCTGATTGACAGGTGTTTCCGTTGGCATCTGATTGATGTTCTTTTCCCGCTCGGGCTGCTTTGTTCTAGCCACTAAGTCGCCACCACCAACCTAACAGGAGGAGTTACTTTTGGCGGGGCCCCTTTGGTGGCCAGGTAATGGGAGGAGTTTAGAGTGGGGCTGGAGGACAGGTAGGTAACCATATTCTTCATTGTCCACTTCACGCTGTGAATGTAGCCTTCCTTGCTCTGAAGCCTCACTCCCTTTCTCTTTTCTGGAGGGCTCTCTGCTCACTGAGCCTCCACTGACTGCCAGGTTACACCTGCTTTCTCCTGGAGCCCTTCCCTGGCCCGCCCACTCCCTGGCTCACTGGAATAAAAGAGACGTTTTTTCTTTTCCTCTACCTCTCCCCCTCCCTAACCTGGGGGAATGGGGGTGAGGGGAAGTACTTGTCTGCCAGAGGATCTAGGAAGTGAATATCTCCCAAATTAACAAGTAAATCCTAACACACTATCTGGACTCCTGGAACACCCCTGACCCCAATCAAGGCACACCTGGAATGTAGCCCTTTGAAGAGCCTCTTAAAAGCCCTCTGTTTTCCCTGATGGGCAGAATCACAGCCTCTGGGACAGGACTCCCCCGCGTTTCTCCTTCACTAGCAAAGCAATAAAATTACTTTTACTTTTTTCTCCAAACTGTTAAATTGGCACTGGGGACAAGGACCAAGTTTTTGGTTATATTATTGGTGTCATTTGTGAGAACTGGAGGAAAAAGGAGGTGGGACAGCATGAGGTGGAGTTGTGGAGGGACCTGCTTGCTCCTGGCTAGGTCCTCACTCCCTTTCTCTTTTCTGAAGGGCTCTCTGCTCACTGAACCTCCACTGATTGCCAGGTTACACCTGCTTTCTCCTGGACCCCTTCCCTAGCCCGCCCACTCCCTGGCTCACTGGAATAAACTGGTTTTGTTTGTTTTTTGAGAGAGAGAGAGAATTTTTATTTATTTAGTTAGTTAGTTAGTTTTTGGCCAACACAACATCTTTGTTTGTATGTGGTGCTGAGAATCGAACCCAGGCCGCACGCATGCCAGGCGAGCACACTACCACTTGAGCCACATCCCCAGCCCCTGGAATAAACTGTTTTGAGTCCACCTCCAACCCTCCCAGCTCAGATTACTCCCTAAATCAGCAAGAGTCTTTGAGGGCCTCCTGAGCTTGGTGTTCTCCAACCCTGTTGGAGCCCCTTCACCCCATTTGTTTTGTTTTGAACAGTTACTGAGCTATTAAGTTGTGCAGGAAATACAGTAGTAAACAAGGCAGATGAGTTTTGTGCTTTCAAAGAATTGAACATTCCAGGAGTGGAAAAGGCAATTTTTAAAAAAGCAAAGGATTATTTTAGTTGATAGTTAACACGTTTTAATTTATTTATTTAATTATTTTTCTATTTTCAGTACTGGAGATTATTGAACCCAGGGCCTCACACATGCTCTGAGAGTGCACTATCACACCATTGAGCTACACACATCCCCACCCTTTTTTGTTGCATTTTCAGACAAGTTCAGCTAAATTGTCCAGGTTGGTCTCCAACTGGTGATCCTTCTACTTCAGCCTCCCAAGTGGCTGGAATTACAGGTGTTTACCAGGGCACCCAGCTGTAAAAACTTTTTAAAAACACGTTGGTAATAGAATAGATATTAACTGATGGAGTTATTGTGTTTTTGTTTATTGTTTTTGTTTTTTAATGACAGGGAAAAGTCTGAGAAAATGAGATTTGAGCTAAAATCTGAAGGATGAGCTAACCATCTAGGTACCTGGGGGATTCTAGGCAGAGAGAACAGCAATGAAGGACAAAAGGTCCTTAACAGTATTTAAAAAGTCAAATTTGGATTTAGCAAGGGGGGGTTTGGAAACTATGGAAAAAGACACTTTAGCCTCTTAAACTCTAGAAGATAAAGACTTAAAGCTATTGTAGCATTGTCACCTCCTGATTTGGCAGAAGTTTCTTAACCTGAGGTCACCGGTAACTTGGAAAGGAGACAACCTGTGCTCTTAATGAAGGTGGAGTATTTACAGATGTCCTCAGAAAGCCTGAGACTTCCTTCACACACACACACACACACACACACACACACACACACACTGTTTTTCAAGACGAAGGGGCCCACAACTTGCAGCAGCCTACCGTGGACCACCTGAGATCTCACTCAAATGTAGACCTGGCCCAGTACCGGGTTAGTAGGCAAACAAGGAGACACAGTTTCTCATTCCTAAAACAAGCCAAACCAAAGTCAGGATGAAAATGTTTTAATCCCCGGGGGATGGGACTAGCCTCCGGGCCAGCCGGGGAGAGGACTGCGACAATGTTAGGACAAGGTTAGGTGAGGCAGCAGAATACTCGTGCATCGTTAAGTGCAGTGTCATCACGGAGGCCTCTAGGCTGCTCCACCTTGGTCTGTAAGCCACACGCACCTTTCAGGCAAGATGTGCTCCATTCTCCAAATTTTCCCCAGTCCAGCCCAGGCCCCTGCAACTCCGTGCCATCTGAGCACCGGAAACGCACGTTGTTCACTGCGGTGTTGTCCCCAGGGGTTATGGGTGCTTCCACCCGAAGTGAGAAAGCCACTAGGAAGCCACCACTAGGACACCATAGAGGCTCACTCCATGCACCCCACCTATAAGGGAAGAGGAGAAGCGCTAGCTCTGCGAGCACTCCCTACTCACCTTGAGGCCAACCCAGAATGTGGGACTTTCCAAGGCAGGTCAGGGCAACCCCATTCGGTTGGATTTAACCACCTGAACTTCCATGAGGTGCAGACAGGTGGACTTCCATCCACCTCCTCAAGTCTAAACTGCCCCATAATTCAGGAGGAGTCTATCTGCTGGGAGAGGGCATGTAACAGGAGGGTAAGAGACATGCCCTGACCCTAAGACATGCTTGGCCCCTGCCCCTTCTCACTTTCCAGATTGGGACTCCACAACTTGAGTGTTGAGCTCAGAGTTACCACGTGTGCAGTGCAGCCGGATCCCGTTCAGAGCTGTGTCATCACCGAGAATGCCTTGATGGGGCTCTACCTGGGTAGTGAGGATGAGTCAGGGGACTGCCATCCTTGGCTCCATGGCCCCATGCCATATCCACCCCCTCCAAGCCCTAGAGCTCTCACCTTAAGTGAGAACCCGCTGGCAAAGTATCCATCAGGACACATCTCAGGAAGGGCCCAGTCGCCCCAGGGACCCCCGTTGGTCACTTCAATGACAGGGTTGCCTATCAGCCCATCTGCCAGCGCATATTTGCAGTACACGGCCCACAACAGCATCAGCAGCTTGGTTCCCACACTCGGTTTCATCCTGCAGCGTCTGTGAATCAGGCCTCTTAACTCAGGTTTATATCAGTCCAGTCCCTATCAGCCCCAATCTAGGCTCCAATTGCGGAAGGGCCTCCAGGATTAAGTGACATTCAAAACTAATCTGTTCCCGGAACTCCACAGACTTCAGGAAGGCAGAGTCCCAAAGCTAAGAAAGGAGGGGCAGTGACAGTGGGCAAGTTGAGATAATAACCACATACTAAAGGCTTACTATAGGACACAAACTGTGGCTAGTGCTTTGCAGACATATTTTATTTAATCCTCACAATTTTAGGAAGTCTGAATTACCTTTCCTATGTGGCTGATGGGGGAACTAAGGCCCAGAAATGACAAATGACTTGCCTGAAGTCAAAACCAGCAAGCAGGGAACCATTCCAACACTGGGAACAAAGACCAGGACTAGGCCTCAGAGACAGGATTGGCCAGGGGCAACCTAGGGAGCTCCAGGATGTGAGGAGCATAGAGTGAGCATATGGCAAGAATTCATGAACTGCTGGAATTGGGATGGGTCTTCTTAGAGACTGGAGTGCTGATCCTTTGAGAATCCAGAGTACCAGATATAACCAACTCTAAGATGTTTATGGATAAGGCTCTAAGAACCCCCTAAGAACAAAACAGGCTGTTTCTTCCATCACTTCCTGTATCCAAGCTTTCTTTTTGGTACCGGGGATTGAACCCAGGTGCGCTTAACCACTGAGCCACATCCCCAGCCCTCTTTTACATTTTATTTAGAGACAGGATCTCGCTGAGTTGCTTAAGGCCTTGCTAAGTTGCTCAGGCTGACCTTGAAATGGTGATCCTACAGCTTTGGCCTCCAGAGCTGCTGCACCATGAGCCCCCACTATATCCTTACTTTCTTTCCACCAGGTGGACTTCTAATTTACAAAACAAAAAGCAAACAAAACCTGTCTAGATCTGTTAGAGGGTTCCACCCCTGATTTGCCTGCCCTTCATACACACAGCTTTGCTTATTCAATTCCTATTTGTTTAGTAATAATGAGTTTTGGCCTGTAAGCATCCAAGAAAAACAAGGCCCCTGTCTTCTTCAGAGCTCCCATGGGGAAAACAAATAGAAAATTCTCCCTCAATGGATGTTTAGCTCTGGGAGAACACTTTTATATTCTGGAGGCCTAGTAGGGCCTGGCATGTGGAAGTAGTTAATGAAGATAATTTTTATAAATGACTGTGGAATCAATCTGGAGTTTAAAAAGTTAAACCAAAAGAATGTAAAAGGATAAAACCTAAAGTACATAACTGAAAGGTCACATACCTAGATCATGACAAGGTTCTCTGGGAATAGAATGGAAAATTTAGAAGTGGGTGGTCGCTGGATCCCAAAGACCTCCCCTGCCCCACTGAACTTGGGAAGATTTGTAGGGCAATTGTGGTCAGCTTTCCCATTTATAACATTTTCACAATCATTATCATTTAATCCTCACATGAGGCTTGCAAGTACCTATTATTATCCTCAATTTATAGTGGAGGGAATCCAAGTCCAGAGTTAACTTACAGTCCACAGTAGGGGAACTGGTTCTTACCCTAGCCTCTCTCCCCAGTAATACCCAGGCTGCCTCTTACTATAAGCTGACCCTAAAGGAAAAGGAAATGTAGAGATGTGTCATTGTTGCCAATTCCCCCCAAATCTTCATTCAGTCCCTCACCCTAGGGTAGCTGCCCTTTGGGGCAAAGTATACAGGGGAAGGGGTCTTAAAAGGTTAATAATTAATTTAATAATAAGTTAATTTGCATCTCAGTTCACTGCCCACATCTTTCCCCTCCTGGAGGCCTATGACAACACTAGCTAGGGACTAGTGAGGGGGCAGTGGTCTCAGCAGCAGCCATGGGGGGTCTCACTGCCTCACCCTGCCCTAGGTTGCTGATTCCACCAGGCAATTCCTCTATTTTTGTGTTGGTGCTTTTTCATCTCAGTGATCAGATCCGTGGTGAATGGCTTCTTTCCTTACCTGCTCAGGGAAAAACTCAGGAGTCTAGGCCCTTAGAACCCAAGCTCCCTTTTCTGGACCTCACCACTTAGTTTCCCCTCTTCCCAAGCATCCTGTCAGACTGCAGGCCCTGGCAAAGTCCTGCATTCCAGAAGGTCCACTGCCTTCCAAGTATGCTCAAGACAGGGTATGCTCAAGACAGGGCTGAGTCTGAGAGCCCCAGATAGAACCCTGAACAGGGGGAAAGGGAGCTAGGCTAAGGGTCTGGTGAAGGATGAGTCCTCTTCCTCATCTCCTCTTTCCCATCATGAAGCTGAGTATAGCAGAAAAGGACTGAAGCTAGACCTTAGGGACAATGTGTTCAGAGCCTAATCCACCTGCTTGCTAAGTAGATCCAGCAAGAGCCGGATCCTCTGATGGTACCCAAAGAGAAGAGCTTTGCTGTCTGGGGCCTCACGGAGTGCTGGGCTTTCATGATAAGGCCCTTTATTGCCAGTCTGAAATTGGAAAGGGGATGTGGAATTGTCAGGATGGAAGGAACTAGTCAGGTGAGTGATCTCTCTCCTACAAGCCAGTCCTCACTTCCTTGTTTCCATCGCCCTCTCAAATCATCTCCCCCATCCCATCCCACCAAGCACACAGGTTCCTAACTCCCCTTGGCTCCACCTTCGCCTTCACCACAAGCAAGGCCTTCACCAAGGTGACAGCACTGGAGACTCGCGTGCATGGCCCAGATTCCACCCACCACACATCACTGACAACCATGGCAGTCTGGGAGAAGCGGGCAGGAATGTAGGAGCTGCCAGGTAGGGTCCCCAGGGACTCGGCTGGCCGGGTCTTTGGGCTCACGAATGTTATTGCTCTTGCTGCAGGGCGCGCTGCGCTGGTCCCAGATCTGCCTCCACCGGGTGGCGACAAGGACGCTGGGAGGCCCGGACGCCGGCACGCAATGCAGCGAAGCCTATTGGACATTTCTTGACCCCATATCACCCCTGGCTCATCCGTCCTCACGCCGCCCGCCTCGCTCTCCTCGCCCTCCCTCCCAACTCGCGGCCGCTTGCTGGAGCTGGCGAGTCCAGGAACCAGAGAGGGGACGCGCGGGCTACAACGGACGGGGCCGCTGGCACCCTGGAGAATGTCCACAACCGCACCGGGGACTGGCAGCCGGACACGGACTCCTCCCGTTGGCTTGAAGTCTGCGGTGGCGAGAGACTGGCCCAGAAGGGAGAACCCTGGGAAGGGATCAGCGCAGCCCAGGATCTCGACCCCAATACTGGTGGGAGACACCTGAGCTGGCAGCTTGGCTGTCCCACTCCCACAGTGACGTCACCTGAGCCAAGGCCCGCCTCGCCCCCCCCCCCCCCCCCCCCCCCCCGCGGGGATGATTTTGAGCTTCTCGCTCATTCTGTAGTCTCAGGAAAATGGGAGGAACCGTGAGGAATGAAGTATTCTTTGGCATTTTGTGTAATGATGGCAGGCACTTGAGGGAAACAGAGTGTGGGAAGATGTGTCATTCCTGTTCCCGGCAGCCGAAAGGATCAAGCTTCTCCTGACCTATTTCAACCACTCCTGCGGCTTCAGTTGCCAACTCCATGCCACGTCTCCAGCCCAGACCTGTCTTCTGGGTTCCACTGACATACAGCAGCTCTTTCCTGATGACATCCACAGTCAGCTCAAACAACACCTGCAAAACGGATCCCATCACCTTCCCCCTGAAAGTGCATCTTGTCCATTGTTCTGTCTCCTAGAATGAACAGCACACTCTCCCTTCCACCACCTGCACATCATGCCTCACTCCAAGCTCCCTAACTTTGTGTCTATCCTATGTTTACCAAATGATTCTTTGGCCACTCCCAAAACAGTACTGAACATGAAAAAGCCTGCCCTTTTCCTACGCAAATTCCCAAATTATAACCTCCCATACACTTTCTTCTGGACTCCAGAATCCTATATCTACAACTGTGAATTCTGCATTTTTGCTTAGATGTGAACTAGGAATAGCAAACCTAACATATTCAAACTAGTCATTGCTAGCTCAGTAAATACCTCCATTCTTCAGGCCCTTAGACCATAAACCTTGTAATATGACTCTTCTGTTTCCCATTCATCACATCAACATCCAATGTGAGTTTCTAACAATTTCCCACTTTTTCCACCACTACTACACTACTACCCTTGTCCATAAAGTTTATGGATAACTAATTTTATTGCAATACTTTTTTTTGGGGGGGGGGGTCCTGGGGATTTAACCTAGGACCACTTAACCACACCCCCAGCCCTTTTAATTTTTTGAGACAGGGTCTTGGGAAGTTGCTTAGAGCCTGGCTAAATTGCTGAGGCTGATCTCCAACTTGCAATCCTCCTGTCTCAGCCCCGCCCAAGTCACTGGAATTACAGGCATGTGCCATCAAACACAGCTGCAACAGCTTCTTAGTTGTCCCTCCATCCATCCTTTCCCTCCCAATAATGTATTGTCAGTAAAGCAGAAAAAGTAACACTTTAAAATGCAGTTTATTTCCTGTCACTTTCCTGCTCAAAAAATAATTCATTAAATCACAAATGAGGCCAAGAGTTTAGTATAGTTTAGTATTGTTGCTCAGTAGTACAGTGAATAGGTACATAAGACCAGCACACACACACACAAAAAGGGATTATAATGAAATACAAGAAAGGCCAGGGCCTAACTCAATAATAGTACCATGTATGAGGCACTAGGTTTGATCTCCAGTACAGGAAAAAGAAAAAGACAGCACTTTCCTAAATTGATCCACAGGTGCAATGCAATCCCTAACAAAATTCCTATGTTTTTTTTTTCCAAAAATGAATAAGCTACTCCTAAAATTCATATGCAAATGCAAGGGATCCAGAATAGCCAAAACAATCTTGAAAAGGAAAACACAGTTGAAGGATTCACACTTCCAATTTCAGAAATTACTACATTCAGAAACTATATAGTGATGATGGTTATACAACATTTTGAATGTACCATATGACACTGAACTTCACACTTTAAAATTTTAAGCTTTTTTTTTTTTTGAGGGTCGGCGGGGGGGGGGTGGGGGGAGATGTAGTCTATGTTGCCCAGGCTAATCTAGAACTCCAGAGCTCAAACAATCCTCCTGCCTCAGCCTCACAAGTAGCTGGGATACGGGTATGCACTGATATACTGGATAATTTTCTTTTAAATGTACTACAAAGCTACAGTAATCAGGACAGTATGATACTGGCATAAGGATTAAATAATAGCTCATTGGAATAAAACCAGGAGAAGAGTATAGAAATAAATCCATATATTATTAGTAAATTGCTTTTCTTTTTTTTTTTTAAGCTGGAGTCTGTGTTACCTAAGCTAGTTTCTAACTTGTGGACTCAAGGCGAGTCTCTTGCCTCAACCTCTCAAGTAACTGGGATTATAGGCAAATGCCACCACCTCTAGCTTTTGGTCAATTGATTGTTTTTTTCTTTTAGGTGATGCTGAGGATTGAATCCAGGACCCTGCACAGGCTAGGCAAGCGCTCTGCCAACTGAGATATATTCCCAGTCCAGATCCATTGATTTTTAAAAAATATTTTATTAGTTACTGATACACCTTTATTTATTTATTTGCTCATGTGTGGTGCTGAGAATCGAACCCAGTGCCTCACAAAGAATCAAACCCAGAGCCATAACCCCAGCTCCCTGCTCCATTGATTTTTGGCAAGGATGCCAAAAACATTCAAGGGGGAAGGAATAACCTTTGTGACAAATAGGGCTGGAACAACTGGGTAACTACATGCAAAAGAATTAATTTAAGCCGGTGTGGTGGGCATGCCTGTAATCCCAGTGGCTTGGGAAGCTGAGGCAGGAGGATTGCAAGTTGCCAGCCTCAGCAATTTAGCAAGGCCCTCAACAACTTAGAACCTTTCTCAAAATAAAAAAATAAGAAAGGCCAGAAATGTGGCTCAGTGATTAAGCACCCCTGGGTTCATTCCATAGTACCAAAAAAGAAGGAGGAGGAAGAGGAAGAGGAATAAATGAATTTAGACTTCATATCATATACCAAAAAAATGACTTAAAATGGATCACAGATCTAAGAATGTAAGAGTAAGCACTACAGAACTCTTCAAAGAAAACACAGGTGCCAGGCACAGTGGCACATCCTGTAATCCCAGTGACTCCAGAGACTGAGGCAGAAGGATCCCAAGTTGGAGGTTAGCCTGAACAATTTAGGAAGAATCTGTAAAAATTTTTAAAGGGTTGGGAATGTAACTCAGTGGTACAGATCTTGCCTAGCAAATATGAAGCCCTGGGTTTGATTCACAGTAATACACTCACATACACACACACACACATCAAAACTTTCCTTCTTCAAAGAATACAAATGAATTAAGTATAAAGACAATCCAGGGCTGGGGCTATGGTTCAGTGATAGTGAACTTGCCTAGCATGTGTGAGGCACTGGGTTCAATCCTCAGCACCACATATAAAAAAATAAAGGTCTATCAACAACTAATAAATTTTTTTAAAAAAAGACAAGCCAATGGGAGAAAAATATTTGGAAATCATATACGGGATGTTTCTAATATCAAAAATAATATAAAAAGCTCAGCGGCTTGGGAGGCTGAGACAGCAGAATCTCGAGTTCAAAGCCAGTCTCAGCAATGCCAAGAAGCTAAGCAACTCAGTGAGACCCTGCCTCGAATAAAATACAAAATAGGGCTGGAGATGTGGCTCAGTGGTCGAGTACCCCTGAGTTCAATCCCCAGTACCAAAAAAAAAAAAAAAAAAGTCAGCGCAGAACAACACAACAGGACCCTGTCTCAAAAGTAAATAAATAAATATTTTTTAAAAAACTCCCATAACCCAACAATAAAAAAAATCCCAATTTAAAAATGAGAACTTAAATAAACATTGCTCCAAAGAAGATACACAAATGGCCAATTAGCACACGGAAATATGCTCAACATCACTAATTATTAGAGAAATGCAAATAAAAAGCCAGAAGATTGCACTCAAATCCACTGGGATGGCCACGACCAAAAAAAAAAAAAGATACACAATACCAAGTGTTGGTCGGTATGCACAAAAATTGGAATCCTCACACATGGCTGGTGCGAATATAAAAAATGGTGCAGTCGCTACGGAAAACAATGGACAGTTCCCCAAAATGTTAAACAGAGTTCCCATAAGACCCAGTAATTCAACCGCTGCTAGGTTTACAGCCAAGAAAAATGAAAACACCCCACGATTATTCCAACTCAGATCTCCAGGCTCCAATCAGACAGATCAGTACAGCCCAGGCCAGTACTGAACGCAGGACCTTGCATATGCAAAAGTGCTCTGCCACCGAGCAACATCCCCTGCTTTCCGGGGTCCCCTGTACTAAGCACTGATCCCAGGAATGATCTACCACTGAGTTACATCCACCAAACCTTTTTTATTTTATGTTGAAACAGGATCTCACTAAATTGCCAAGGCTGGTCTCAAACTTGCGATCCTCCGTCGTTGGGGTAATAGGCTTGCGCCACCACAGCAAGACAGGACTTTCTCTTTCCGCTGTCTCTCTGCCCCGCTCTCTTTAATTTGTTGCCTGACACACTGCCATCAAGTGCTCACTGTCGCAAAATAACGTACCCTCTACTTTCATTTCCCTTCTGCCGTCAACCGCGGCATGATTTCTCTCCCAGAAGGCCTCAGAGAGAGTGACAGAGCGCTTTACGACAGTTGCTTTGTGGCAGCAGAGGAGGAGGAAGATGGCGGCTACCTTAGTTGCTGCTCGAGGAGAGGGTCCCGCACCCGCCTGGGGGCGGGAGGCTGTCGCCCCAGACTGGGAAAACCGGGAAGTCTCCACAGGGGTGAGGAAGGAGTCAGGATTCAGAAAATGTGCACAACTGGGGAGGATAAAGCCCAAGTGGGGTTGAGAGAGGGGAGGTGGATTGTGTTATGCTCACGGCGAGAGAGAGGTATTCTGAGGATGCTGGAGTTGTGTGGTACGTTGGTAATGAGGAGTAAAGGGTGGGTTGAAGTCTGAAATTCTATCTTTCAGGGCAAATAAAACCTTTGAGCTTGAGGGTTGGAATTCTGGTATTTTGAGGAGTGTAGAGGCCCCCACAGGATTGGAAAATGGGTCCGCGGCGCACGAGTTTTGTATTATGGGATCTGGGGAGGGAATTGTTGGGGTTTATGTATGTTGGGGAATGTGGAAAAGTCTAGA